GTCTCAATGGAAGATTGAATAATACTTTGCTTACCCGAATCCAAGACAGTCAGGTCACGGTCATGATTCGCAGAAGCATCTATACCTACAAATTTATCTATTGTAAATATGCGGGTTTTGAGATAGCAAAAAATAATTTCTACTAGTTGTAGATATTAAAAATAATCCAAATCATCCTTATAATAAATAAATACTATATTACATTTGTGCAGACCTAAATAAATTAAAAACGGAAGCCATTATTTATAAACATTGATACCGAGCTAATTTTATATGATTTATAAATATCATGAATCATTCATTAATTTTTATGATTCATCTAATAAAAATACTGCATTACATTATGTATTTATTAAAATCAAATATATGCCCATGAGTTATCACGTGGATCTAGTATTATTGACCTTCTAGTTTTCGCACTGTTAGGAAGCTACCTTTTTTATTGGATAAGTGGTAAGGTGATACTATCGCCTCCAAGGGCCCCTAATTTGGTAAGATCTGCCACATATGTAACAGTGAGACGTGGCCTCTCGTGTGCGGTGAATCTGCAAAGGCCACCTGGACATCGTCGATCATAAACCGAGGAGGAACATTGCTGTGCAAGCTGGTTAGGACCTGATACATAACCAGGGTAAGAGAAGCCCAGCTTAAGAAGATGATGTTTTCCACCCTGTTAAAATAAGGAACGGTTACAAGACGCCTATTGCATCCTATCGTTGTCGTGGTGGCCCGGAGGTTATGGAGCCCGCTTCTCATGCATGAGAGTGTGGGATCGAAACCTGGCAAGTACCAATGTGACTTTTTCCGAGTTATATGTACTTTCTATGATTATTTAGACACCACTGACATACGGTGAAGGTAAACATCGTGAGGAAACCTGGACTTATAATTTCTAATAATTAGAAGAAGTTTGAAATCGCCAACCCGCATTGAGCAAGCGTGGTGATTAATGCTCAAACCTTCTCTGTGTGAGAAGGGGCCTTTGCTCAGCAGTGGGCACTTATGGGCTGATGATGATCTGCATCCTATTATTAGGTTAACCCGATGGAAAAGTTACCGTATTTAGCCTTTGATTAAGCATTGAACATCATAAGCTTGTCGATCACATTAAAGCTAAGCAAACTTGCACTAGGCACTCTGATAGTAAGGCATTAGCGCCTCCTATAGTATACCCAAAACACTAAAGAAATGACACGTAAAATGCTGGTCTTTAAGGAGGGGGAGATTGGATCCCTTACACGGGAAACACAACGTGAGCGTTGTTCCACGCTGCTTGTTCGTGAGGCCTTAACATCACTGCCGTCGAACCGGCTCGGTCGTGCGGAAGCATTCGTATCCCACGTGATGAGTGTGAAGATCACGTTATTCAAAAAATAATTTAGTCTGACATTCGCTGATAACTAGCCAATTTAATGTTAATAAAAATATGCGATTATGAGCAAGAACCTACATAAACCAGTCAATTTGATAGCGATATCATTTCGTACCTCTTTAGTGAGAGCTGTGGCTAAGTGAGCAGTTCCTGTTTAGGACCACTTACCATCGACATTGTTACCGACTGGATGTTGGTCACAATAAAATAGCAAACTAGAAGGTCTAAAGTGGACAATTTGAAACAAAGGACGACCTAATTATTTGTATGTTCGTTTCCATTCACGAGACCACGGGTACCGTCGGACCTTCGGAAGGCGTACGAGGGGCCAAACTCAACTCGCAGAGTCCCTTTTAACATCTTTAATATTTGTGAAATGGAACATCATTGTTATTATTATAATATATGAATTTGAATTTGATTGCTCATTCGTGCATGCGAATGGATGTATACTTTCAGCCGGGGTTTGAGGTTGCAAGCTCAATGATGTACCCCCGGCTTGGCGCAGGAGAAGTAGTTTTTGGTCAATAAAAGTTACTTACAGTCCTTCTCGACCCACCCTGGGAAGTCGAAGTCATTTGACGACTTTATATGATAAATGAAAATAAATTTCAATTGTGGTCTATACCTACATATTATTAAAATAGTATTGCTTGATAAGACTTGCACGCGCCCTTCCGCGGATACGGAAACTGATAGAGTGATGACTTGTTTACTATTTGATTAAAAACTGGCGCACGAATTAGTTTTGTTTAATATTTAAGTAAAAAATGAAGGTTCGACCAGTTCGACCAGCGACAAACAGCGCGTTTCGTTTCGCTGTGTGATGCCAATTCCCCGATACCTACTCAAAACCCCAATCCCTAAAAAGTCAGCAATACGCTCAGATGTATTCTGCTGCTGCAAATGTTTATGGGCGGCGCCGATTGTGTAGGTGTAGGTAATTATTCTTTTTTAATATTGCACTGAAAAGATAAAACTATTTATTTGTGATGCGGAAATTGTTTATCCTGGTCTGAGTGTGATGCGTTTGTGAGATTGTAGGTATAGTTATAAATGCACGCACGACACACAAGAAAAAATTCAAAAATGGAGCAACGATCCTTTTTTAAATTATCGAAAAACAGCGCGTAATTAAAAATATATTTTAAAAATCGAACCCTCATACATTCAAAAAGTTTGGTTATCTTTATTCTCAAGTAGCACTACTGTTTAGTATCTATACATCTACATGTGTAAATATGAACGTTTGTCGGTTACTCAATCAAGTCTCGACGAAGTATAATGATTTGCATACGCGACTACCAACAAGTATATACGTCAAGATATTTATTTTATATTTATGTATGCATATTAATGACGGAAGTGAATTAATTTTTAAATGATATTGTTTTTTTTTTCAATGTATTTTTGTGTTTGACCTATTTGGGTTTTTCGGAGTAGAATTCAAATTAGTTGTCATTATCGATACTGTTTATTATGTGCGTATAAAATATATCTAATAAGATATCTGTATTAATATCGTATAAAATGTTTGTAGGTTTCAATTCCCGCACTCTGCGCTTCTTTGTGTGAAACACAGATGTCGTCAAAGATGTTGTCCCGGTTCTTAGTGAGATAAGTTTATAAATGCACGTTCCCGAGCACGACACAGGAGAAAATCCTATTATTGCAAAAAAAATACAAATTGGTTTCATGAAATATATAATTCGGCGAAAATACCAATCGGAAAATAGCACCCAGAGCCAAGAAGAAAGAAACCATTACCGTTCTATTTTCAAATTTATTTAATACATACCGGCTATTCAGATACAGTCAAATGGAGTCTTAAATTCTTTTTAATTTTTTTTTATTAAACCTTTTCGTAAATAATGTTTGAGACCTGCAATACCTTTTTTATTATTATGACAAGACAAAGAGGTCATTGTCCCAATTCGATTGTAAAACAATAATGATTTTAATTACTACAGTCATTGACTTCGAAAAGTAACTGTTCATCAAAGCAGGTAATGCGATCAGTCTAAGATGCGATTCTCATATACGAACATTGAATCATCACATCACATCATCAGCTTATAAGCGCCAATTGCTGAGCAAAGGCCTCTTCTCATACACAGAAGGTTATTTACCACACTTGCTCAAGACGGATTGCTGATTTCAAACTAAATATTAGAAATTATAAGTCCCGTTTACCCCACGATGTTTTTCTTCACCGTAAGTCAGTGGCATCTAAATAATCATAGAAAGTACATTTTTTTATTGTCAGGGGAAAATCATCAAATAACTTCTCCCGCCCAGGGTTAGGCGAGAGAGAGTGTCAGACTCTTACTGACTAAAAACCCCTCCGTTCCTTCTCCTGCTCTGGGCCGAGGCCGCGGTGCCTCATTGCGCTTAACCCGCAACCAAAATCATAGAAAGCACATATAAGTCGGAAAAAGTCACATTAATTTGTACTTGCCAGTCTTAACTATCGGGCCACCATCACGCTTGTAAAGTAACACATATAGGGTAGTCTGTGGGCGAAATTGGTTGATATAAAAAAAAAACGTTTGTACATTAAAATTACCGTTTATAACCTTTCCATCGTGGTAATTCGAGGTACAATAGAAGAACAATAAGTGCACGAACGCGAGTGGCGTTCGCTTGGGATTTGATGAATTAGAATCTCTATACGGTTAATCCTTAATCTTGTCTCTATTGGAACGGCAGATGGCTGTTTCTTTGTAAAATACTGAAGTTCTGCATCCGTTTGAGAAATTAGAGAAAAACAATGCTTCTAGGAACTTAAGTATGAATGAAGTTATTGTATTAAGAATTCAGTTCAATGACATTATTATGCGATCGATAAACGTCAATGAAAACTGTTGGAAAAGTACTTATGTTGTTACTTTGGAAGTATTATTATCGTTACAGTTTTTTGAGGAAGTTATTTATCAAATGATTTCTCACTCTCTGAGTGGAGGAGGAGAGGGGTGTCAGTTCATTTTCATTTCATCAAATGTTCATTTTTACTTTTAAGATTTTTTCGTTCGTAATACGAAATTACTATTTCTAAGTGATGGACTGAAATGTTTCAACTGGTATCTCCAACTTGATTTACTGACTAAAAACACCCCGTTTTTTCTCCCGCGTCGGGTCATTCGGCGGTTGCATCGGTAACCTCGACACCGTTTTAATGATAAGATTATGATTATCGTAAATAATAATATGGTTGGTAAAAGAAATCGGTTTTTTCATATTGTACATTTTTTGTAGCTTCTTATACTCAAGGGGACTCTAGATTTTTATAGTTTTATTTTGCCATAGATATTATAAGGTGAAATTTGGCTGAATGTGAAAAAATAGTAGATATATTATAAGAAAGAAAAATAAAATTTGTATCGTGTGTACCTACATTATGTGATTAAGAAAATCCTAAAATAACCTACTACTTATAAACAGAAAGCAATCTGAGTTTTATACCTTATAAAAATACAAATGCAACAATAAATGATCGTCTAAACTTTCCAATTTAGTAGTGAAATTCGTGTACGACGTAAACACAATCTCCAAACGCCGGCTTTACGTTGTGTATCAAAACAACTGCCGGCCAGTCGCTTCTAGTTTCGTCCTTAGTTCTGTTTAGTAACTCACAGCCAAACGACGCATGCGTACAACCGGTGAACTAATTACGCGTGTTTATTATCTAAACCAAAATAAAAACAAAATACTGAACTAAAATAAAATCAAGTGAAATAATTTTTAATCTGTGAATATAAAAACTGTTTTTTATAAAACTCTGTGGTGAATTTGATTCTGAATTCGAAGTTTGAATTGCATTTGAAAGATTAAAGGTACGTTTCACTGTTGGTTTATGGTTTGTGTTGTGTTTACGAAAATAGAATGGTTGGTTATCTATTATCGATTTATAGTTTGTAGGGATTTTATTCTTTGAATTATGTTCATCTAGATAAACTAGCGAAAGTTGATGTGGTTTGATAAATATACAACTGGTAGATTGACTAAGAAATGATTCTTTTCGCGTTCTTAGTTCGAAAACTCAATGTACAATTCATTGATTTCAAATTAGAACACAATGCTATCAAAAAAACGAAGGTGTATGGACATTTTTATACAAGCCAAAAGTATCGAAGTCGTTCGATTATTGAGTTTTTAATAAAAATATACTACTTATAACTGTACTTAAAGTCTAATTTAGCACGCCAATTTATCGATTCCGGTGTAGTTGGTTATTAGTTATCTACCCATATAAAACAACTTGAACTGAACGCGTATAACTGCATTTTAGCGAGAACTTGCGCCCTTGAACACGAATATGGCAGATATTCAATTAAAAAACATTTTAGTAATGGTTAGGCTGTGATATGAGTATAGCAATTATATTGCCGGTTTAAATTTTTTATGTATTCCTTCGTGATATTGAATTTAGATTTAATAAGTGATGGACAGAACTTTTTCAATTGGTATCTCCAACTTGATTGTCAGTCGTGGAAATTAAGACAAGTCAACGTATATCACTTCTATATCACGGGCTACTTATTGATGAAGCGAATAAATACCTTTCTAACAATCATCAAAATTAAGATATTTTTATTACGGCTAGCGAGGTGTCCGATGTTTGATTACAAATAAATAAAATGACTTCATTGCCTAAACATAAAACTATCCCAACAAAGTTCATAACAATATCAGTGTTCATAAAGATAGTTTAGACTATCTTTATTTCTTTAGTAGATTTTGACTCTTCAATGAAGTCGTTAAAACTTCAAAGTTTCAAAATTATTTCTTTTAAACACGTTATTTTTTTAAGAATTCGACTTAATTTCCGTGAAGATCTAATATCAAGTAGGATAAAAAATATTTTTTAATTTAAATAATTTATTTATTCTTTATTTCATAGAGGTACAAATAAAAATAATAATTTTCCAATATTGATCGTTCTCATTCGTCCATAACTATTTGAAAAAAGAATGGCCATTTCCAAGCAGTAAATGACGGCTCGACGTTTTTTATCTGTAGGAAAAACTTGAACAGATTTCAGACCAAAGTGGACACTTTTGAACATTAAGCAAAAAAAAACGAAAAAAATTTTCAAGGGGTTTAACTTTATGTATGTCAGACTGTCCGTCTGTCTTCGGGACTTAGCGGAAGATAAGTCCCGCTTTAATAATGCCTTTCATAATGCTCAAATATTATTAGAGACCAAACTAAGTTTTTAAAATTAAGGTGTCATTTACATTGTAAAGCCGTACAGGCAAAACAAACATATGAACATATGATATGAATCAGCAATGTACAGAGCACTGCACGATGAACTAAGGGCTAAGTGTTGAAGCTAGCATAGCATGTTGAAAACATTTTCAGGCGCTAAGAAGATTATCGAGGCAAGAATTTAAAATAATAGCCATTCATTTGTGATTACAGAAGCGATAATTGCAGATAATAATTAGTTTTTCCCTTGTAAACTGTTCAGTTTACACAGTTATTTGTATGCAGGTAAGAAAATAAAGATGGAATTAGAATAGAGACGGTACTCGTTCTAACAATTAATTATATGGTTTGAAAAAAGGCATATCTTTTTTAACCACTGGTAGATTCAGTAGTGTGATTCTGTAAGACTTGATTCTAAACTTCGAATCTGAATCCGCCGTGAGTAGTAGTACACTAGCGCTACACTTGCGAGTTGAACTAAATTGACAGCAACATTTTGATAGATAAAGTATGAGATGAAGTTAAAAGTGACATTCTAAAATTTTATTTCCCCGTCACTTCGACGCTCACTTCAGTCTCGAACAAAATTCAAAATCAAACAAATTTTATATAATCGACGTGCAGTAGTCAAATAATAGTTACTATCTCTGTACTAACCCAAACTTTATCTTAACATAAATGACTGCGAATATAGTAGGTTGGAAAGAGTTTTTTGTTTGTTTGTATGAAACACATCATCTTAGGAACTACTGAATCGGTTTTAATATTTGTTTTATTTTATATACGTAATAGTTCAACAATGCCGGAAGTCATTGCCGTAGAACTTGACGCGATTCTATCGAACGCATTTTAAAACTGTACAAAGGATTTTGATGCGGTTTTTTATAGATAGAGTGTTTGAAAATGAAGGTTTATACTTATAATAAAATCTATTAAATAAAGAAAGAGACATTTCGTATCAATGAAATTTGTGGTCGCTAGTCTATATGTAATAAATTTAATTAATTACTGAAAAATGACGATGTCAATAGAGGCAAACGTAGCAAGCCTGTTCTTCAGCTTCGTACCCAAATAATTGCCATTAGATAGCATTAAATTAGGTTCAGATAGTTAAAAAAATAAGCAATTGCCTACTTAAAGTTTTACTTATTACTCGAGTTTCATTAAAAAAATAATTGTTGTTCGTTAATTTACGGTAATATCTTTCGATTTATTTTGAACTTTTTTCTCAAGCCTCGTTAATATTCAATTCTCTTTTACAATTTAAAATAACTGTACCTACTCATCTAAACTAACAAAATAAAAGGACAATATACGCTACTTAATTTATTTAAAGTTTAAAATTTACTATCATGAAAATGAAACGAAGGAATCAATTTTGCTTCCGGGTTGTAGATGCAAGGTCAGTAATGTGCCGAGGCCCCGGCTCAGAGCAGGAGTGACACTACCTCTCGCCCCAATCAAAACGAGAGAAGTCATTTGATGATTTCCCTCTCTTAAAAAATGTTCTTTCAGTTTAGTATCATTTGCTATAATTGCTACAAAAATGAAAACAGTATTAGTCGTGTGCCGCACCGGTTAGTGGGGGAAAAAAAATTGGGTTTTGATTTCCGAGTCGGGATATATTTTATTGCACTAGATTTTAATTCTTATTACCTACGTATTTTCTGTAATATACTTTTTAGAGTAGCACTGAGTCGAAAATGTTCAAAGGTATCAAAGGAATCAGGAATGCGCTGTAGACCATTTTAAATTGAATTGGTCCGTCACTGTCGAAAATTTAGGTATTATTAAACTAGCTTTTTCCGACGACTGTTTGCGTGAAATTGTAACTTCCTGTAGATTTTTGGTTAAAAAGCATCCTATGCCCTTTCTCGGTTTCCAAACTATGCCTGTTCCAAATTGCGCACAACCAGGTTCAATAGTTTAGGCGTAAAGAAAAGACAGACAGATAGAGTTACTTTCGCATTTATAATATTAGTTTGGAAGCTTGGATTTTGTTCGGCAAAAAATTAAACTATTTGAGTAGTAATTATCTAAACTGCCTAACAACTTTCTTAAACATAAATATTGATATAAAATAATGTTGCGGTCAAAATATAATTAACTATTAACGTCATAATAACTTAGCTTGTTTATTTGTTTTTATTATATTCTATAATCGAGAATTAATTGGAATTTAATGCGTTTTATTCCAACTTATAATAAATTATTAACCTTATATAAATTATAAAATACTTATAAAATTATATGTAAGGTCTTTTTTATCAATTATAATAGGAGGCATAGGTTAATCTATTATTATTTTTTTGTTTTTTTTTAATTATACCTATAGGAAAATAATTATATTAATACTTAATTTTTTTCTTATTTTTATGAGAAAACAGATACTTGCTCGAATATTCTTAACATATAATTATGAATATCTAGTGTAAGTAGCGTAAAAGTATGTGTAATCTACAACGTTATCCACATGTTATATACTTTTTAACAATTTTGCGTTATAATTAATACCTAAATACCTACCTAGTCTTTCTGAAAATTATTTCTTTTAGGGCTGATTTTTCAATTGTCATATACAAACATTCTGACGCGACAGCATCATAATTATTCCCCAGGTAACTTCTATCTAACCATTGAAAAATCAGCCCTAAATGAAATTAATAAATACGCGATTATATCTCATACTTCGTACATTGCCGTAAGCAACAATACTCATTGTTGTGTAAAAATCTTATTTACAGAATAATTTATGATTCATTGCAGTGAAAATTGCCCTTTGGCAATAGGTTTAACTTTAAGGTCTTAGGGTCAAGCCTTGTGTCAAGAAACTTTATGTATGGGCACTTGACTTGGTCAAAAATAAATTTAAAAATAGTGATAAGTCAGTGTCAATTTTTAATGCAATTAAATGTAAAAAAAATCACTCCTTATTTCATTGATTTAACGGTAAAGCTATGTTTGTAGTTTTTTTTAATTCGCCAAACCCCAAGCGAACACCGGCGTTCGGGCATATATTTTTGATCTCTTCTATTGTGTCTTGAATTACCACGATTTAAAGGTGAATTTTAATGTCTCTGTACTGTATCAATTTTTATTTTCTTGTCTGCCTTAGAAACAACGCGATTGCGTTTTAAACAATCATACACACATACCTACTACATAAAACTGAATGTTACTCTAACAACCGACTGGAACTGGGTGCAGTTAAGCGCGCATCGGAAGTTGCACAACCTTTGTTGTAACGTCACAACTCTCGAGTCCAATCACCTCCCATGCAGAACTAACAACTTCAAACTTAATATACACGACCTCAGGGAGTCTAGACTTTAAACCAGAAGATGAACTTTACATACTGCCAGTAGTTTTTTTTAAACGTTTTGGTGTCGGTATTTGACCTCTAACGTTTGGAATTTGGGTCAAAACAACCAATTAAATACATGTTTTTTTTACTAACAAAATGATAATGTGTTGTGACGACGATAATTCATATTTTTATTTTATTTTATGTGATAGGTCGGCAAACGAGCAGGCGGATTACCTGATGGTAAGCAATCAGCGCCGCCCATGGGTACCCGCAACGGAGGAGTTACGAGTGCGTTGCCGACCTTTTAGGGATTAG